AAAACAAACCGTGTCTATATTCTTCTCATTTGCAATAACCTTTCACTCCTCAGGCGATATACTAGGCTCTGCAATGCAAAACCTTGACAATCTTGTCCAGATGCCCTACGGCTGTGGAGAACAAAACATGGTCCTTTTCGTCCCTAACATTTATGTTCTCAACTATCTGAATGAGACGCAACAGCTGACGGAGACGATCAAGTCCAAAGCCATTCGTCACCTCATCAGCGGTGAGCGATTTTACCTGAACTCCTAAATGCCTTCAGTTTGGTTCAGATTTGGTGATCACTGTTGCTGTAATTTCCAATCGAATGCCCCTCTCTAGAATAATGACTCCCAATAGTGTCAATAACCTTAGAAATGTGAGTAAAAAAATGTTTACTCAATGATTCTCTGATAGGGTTAAAACAAATGAATAATAATAATTGTCTAATGGCGCTCTACTTCATAAATGACTGAAATTCCCTCTCCAGGGTATCAGAGGCAGCTGAACTATCAGCACAGTGATGGCTCATACAGCACATTTGGGGATCGAGGTGGGAACAGCCAGGGGAATACTTGGTAAGATGAGATTGTGTCTTCATGCTCTGCTGAGCTGAAGCATTTCAGGGTCTAGGAATGGCTTTCTCTGGTACCTGGGATTCTTTTCTTGAAGGTTTACTTATTCTTAAAACTCCAAATGTCATCCCTACTGACCTCTGAAAACCAACCTGCTCTGCCAACACCACCAATAATAGTGAAGCAAGGAAACAGAGGTCAGGAAGTACAGTTGTCCACAGTCATGGGGAAAGCTCTCTGCTGCCCTTCAGAGGTGGCAAGGTAGAGAGCAGGGAAAGAGACGCAGAGTGGGATAGTCAGAAGTCATTTGGAATAAGCAGTTGCGATGGGAGGGAGACGTAAAGCTGTCAACTAAGACCCTCCAGAAAGACCTCCATTGACCTGTGAAGATCAGTGTCTGCGGGCAACACAGAGCGAGCTTCAAAGTGAGGTGGCCCTACTGTCTTGGTCTCTTTTCTGCTGACAGGCTCACTGCATTCGTACTCAAGGCCTTTTCTCAAGCTCAGTCCCACATCTTTATAGAGAAGACACACATCACCAAATCCCTCAGCTGGCTCTCAATGAAACAAAAGGAAAACGGTTGTTTCCAACAGTCCGGATATCTGCTCAACAATGCTATGAAGGTGATGCCCTGCTTCTCCTTGACTCTGAAGGCTGTGATATGTAGTAAGGAAGGCTTCTCTGAGAGTTCTCCAATCCTTGTGGCTGAGGAGATGACTCAGTGCTTAAGAGCATTTAGTGCTATTGCAGGCAACAGCTTGGTTCCCGGCATCCTCCTCAAACAGTTCACAACCACCTGTAACTCCAGCTCCAGATAACCCAATGCCCTCTTCCAGCCTCCATAGGTACTTCACTCATGCACAAACTGACACATAAATGCACACATACACACATGATTCAGACCTTTAAAAAAGAGTTCTCCGGGCTTCGAGTTGGTGGCGCACGCCTTTAATCCCAGCACTCGGGAGGCAGAGGCAGGCGGATCTCTGTGAGTTCGAGGCCAGCCTGGTCTACAGAGTGAGTTCCAGGATGGCCTCCAAAGCCACAGAGAAACCCTGTCTCGGAAAAAAAAAAAAAAGAGTTCTCCGTCCGGTCCGGTCCGAGTGACATAACTTGGAGGGTCTAATGTTCCAGCAAATGCTGAAGTGTGCGAGTTCTCCCTCTGTCCTTTCAGGGTGGTGTGGATGATGAAGTGACACTCTCTGCCTACATCACCATTGCTCTGCTGGAGATGCCACTGACTACTGAGGTATGTACACATCCCTATACCTCCTTTGCAAACGTAAGGAATGAAATTAAAAAATAAAAAATGACACAACTAGGATCCCCTGCGGACACCTCCACCAGTTTTTGTGGTCTTGGATTCTGGTTGTCACAGCCTCTGATGCTGGGTTGTCACAGTGTGACTCTCAGCCTGGTGTTAGCCTGGGGTACTTCCTTAGCCTGGTTCTGTTGTTTTAAAATTGTTTCTCATCTTCTTTTATAGCACAGTATTGTCCGTAATGCTCTATTTTGCCTGGAAACAGCCTGGGCCTCCATCTCACAGAGCCAAGGAAGTCATGTCTATACCAAGGCACTGTTGGCCTATGCCTTCGCCCTGGCAGGAAACCATGCCAAGCGAAGCGAGGTGCTTGAATCACTAAACAGAGAGGCTGTGAAAGAAGGTAGGCGCTCCCATTGCAAAGTAAACTAGCTACAGTCACTAATGATGAAAGACAGAGTTACTTTTGAATCACTAAACAGAGGCTGTGAAAGAAGGTAGGCGCTCCCATTGCAAAGTAAACTAGCTACAGTCACCAATGATGAAAGACAGAGTTACTTTTGAATCACTAAACAGAGGCTGTGAAAGAAGGTAGGCGCTCCCATTGCAAAGTAAACTAGCTACAGTCACTAATGATGAAAGACAGAGTTACTCTTGTGCCACCTTAGCCAGAAAGACAGAGAGAGAAACCCACTGACCCAGCACTTAAGTGATAGCAGCCATTTTATTGACACACATTACTGATTTTATATAATCCAACTGCTGGTGCTGCACAAGTACATAAGAGACACAATGACTTCCCGAGTGATCGTCTGGGAGCTTGATGTACTTTCTTGGTAAAGATCTGCTTGTTACCAGGCATGGTAGCTCATGCCTTTAACCCCAGCACTTAGGAGGCAGAGACAGGTAGATCTCCAGGTTCGAGACCACCCTGGTGTAGATAATGACACCCTGCCTCAAAATAATGATAATAATAATAATCTGCTTGTGACTATTATAAAGTGTCTACTCATTTCCTGTGTGCCAGTTCATTAGCTGAACTAATCATTACTCTTGGACTAGATTTTAAAATGATGTTTTAAGCTTAAAATTTTATCCTTTCCATTTAAAAGATGATTCGATCCACTGGCGGCGTCCTGGAAACGTTCAGGAAGTAAAGACGCTCTATTATCAACCACGGGCCCCTTCTGCTGAAGTGGAATTAACATCTTATGTGCTTCTTGCCTATCTCACGACTTTGACTTCCCGGTCTTCAGAGGACCTGTCTTCAGCATCCCAAATTGTGAAATGGATCACCAAGCAACAAAACTCCCACGGGGGCTTCTCCTCTACTCAGGTCTGTGGGGAGACCTGTGACGAAACACCGTGACCAAAGAGCAAGTCAGGGAGGAAAGGGCTTATCAGGCTTACACTTCAGCATCGCCGTTCATCACTGAAGGAAGTCAGGACAGGAACTCACATAGGGCAGGATCCTGGAGCTGGCACAGAGGCCATGGAGGGGAGCTGCTTACTGGCTTGCTGTCCCTGGCTTATTCAGCCCACCTTTTTATAGAACCCAGGACCAGCAGCCCAGGGATGGCACCACCCACCATGAGCTGGGCCCTGCCCCATTGATCACTAAATGAGAAAATGCCTTACACCTGGATCTCAAGGAGACATTTCCTCAACTGAGGCTCCTTCGTCAAGTTGACACACAAAACTAGCCAGTACACCCTATGAGGGAACAGTAAATCAACTAAACCATATGTAAACACAAACATATCCTAAGAATTACATAGCTGAATCATCATCATTTCTAACGTATACATTCTCCATCCCTCCAACACTAAGTCCCAGCCTAATTCACTTACAGATCACTATGTCTGCCTTATATTCTCATTATCTTCTTCCTGATGAAGGTCCTCAACATCACTAGGCGCCAGTTTCCCAAAATACTGTTTTTGTAGAATTACTTCCATGAGAAAATTAACTTTGTTTCCATCCACAGATTAAAATTATCTAATATTCTGCCTACGCCATTTTCTGTCCGTAGTAAATGTGTACTTGCCCCGTTAGTTAGGCAAGTCCTTACGCCACTTCTGGAATGGACTTGCTGCCATTTCTGGGTCCATTTACAATATTCCAGCTCTTCCACGATGTTCCTCTCCCCTCTCCATAAATACTTTTCATTATTCAAGAATTATCTTTCTTCACTTCTCATCTTCAGTCTTCTTTTTCTATCTTAGCCTACATTTTCTTCCTCATTTCAAATTTCTACGAGTATTGCTACACAGATTTATAAATTACTGATGATACATATTTCTGTACATATTGTAATCTGTGTAAATGATAAAACTCATTCCCTCTGAAACACCTAGGTTGGGTCACCATTGGTAAGCAGGATGGAACTGTACTGAAATTATAATTAGCTGTGCTTTTGACTAAATAACCCTGAAAGGAAGCCGTGTTGACATTCAGTGTGGCATTGCTGTCGCTGCATCCACTGCAATTTCTGTTTCTTTCTTTTCCTCAGGATACAGTGGTGGCTCTCCAAGCCCTCTCTAAATACGGAGCAGCCACTTTTACAAGAAGTAAGACAGACGTGCAGGCCACCATCAAGTCCTCAGGGAGCTTCTCTCAGAAGTTCAATGTTCACAATGCCAACCGCCTGCTGCTGCAGGAAGTCAGGCTGCCAGATCTCCCCGGAAATTATGTCACCACAGTGTCAGGGTCAGGATGTGCGTACCTCCAGGTGAGGCCTCCAGGGTTACATTTTCATTGCTAAGTGAAGAGTGGAGTTACTTAGAAGAGGTTAAGTCGTCAGCACTGAGACAAAGAATTTTGCTCTGGTTGTTTTCAGACGTCTCTAAAATACAACATCTTTCCGAAGAGAGAAGGAAAAGTGCCCTTCGCTCTGCGGGTTGATACCCTCCCCATAAACTCTAATGAAAATTACAGAACATTCCAGATTCACATCAACGTAAGGTAAAACCTAAGTTGCAATACATGTATGTATATATTTACATATATACATTATGTCTATATTTACATATATGCATACATAATCTATCTGAAGAGAGGAGAGGAAAATGGTGAGATTTCCAAATAACTACACAGATACGGTAGCCAGAGAAACTTAGTAATAAGAACGTTAGACTTCTGGCTTCCATCAATCCCGAGGAACCTGGTCTGAAGGACTCACCTCTGTGTGTTACCTTCACAGTTACACCGGAGAACGACCCAGATCCAACATGGCCATTGTTGATGTGAAGATGGTATCAGGCTTCATACCTGTGAAGTCAACCGTGAAAAAGGTAAACCCTATGCCATCAGTAGAAAAGGCTAAACACAGGACCCCTCCTCAGGTCCTGCTTCAACTTGATGCTCCAGGCTTTGTTGACTCCCCATGAGAGGCCTTACCCTTTCTGAGCAGTGGATGGGGGTGGGTTGCAGGGGAGGTGGAGAGGAGTGAGAGGAGGGGAGGGAGTTGGTTGGTCTGTAAAATGAATAAAAACACTTAACCATATGTGGAAATGGTTAACAATAACTCTTGCAGGCGGCAATGTCATACTGTTTGTCTATTTGATTTTACTGATGTAGTTTTCAAAGGCTTACTCCTGCAAACCTGCCTCTCCAGAGTGTGATTCCATCATTTATTACTGCTTATATTGGTTAATAGTATGTTGGGTATGAGGTCTAAGTTTTAGCCTTATATTCAATTCTACCAAGCAATTAGCTATCAGGTTTGTGGACATACTTTCAAAAAATGTATATAATCACACATACATGTATCTCCTTACGAATTACTAGTATATGTATATATCGCATATATTATCTATATACATACATATAAATAGGAAGTATTACATACATATAAATAGAAAGGATTCAATAAACATTATCATTATGAGTAGTGTTCCTAAAGAAATAAAAAGTCAGGGGGCTGAAGGGTTGGCTCAGCGGTTAGGAGCACTCACTGACTGTTCTTCCAGAGGTCCTGGGTTCAATTCCCGGCAACCACACGGTGGCTCACAACCACCTTGAATGAGATCCAGTGCCCTCTGCTGGCATGCAGGCAGAAGACTGTATACACAATAAATAAAATATTAAAAAATAAAAAATCAGTAGTTTGGACTCTTCAGAGAAGCCTTTTATGTGAAAAATACCTGGAAACTGCTCTTCACATAAACTGTCCTCACTCCATATTTCTGGTTTATCAACAGCTCCAAAACCATCCTAATATTCAGAGGACTGAAGTGAACACCAACCATGTTCTAGTCTACACTGAAGAGGTAAGACTTTGTGATTCTGGGGTCTGTAAGAATTGCTAACCAGACCATCAAGATTCCAAAGAGTCAGTCTCCACCACCCCTTTATCACTCACACACACACACACACACACACACACACACACACACACACACACACACACACACACACGTTAAGGACAAAAAAGCTACAAAGAAAAAATGGCACCAGAACTGATCAGCAACACTGTTTATGAACATACCTTTTGTTCTTTCATCTTTTATTAGTTATGTTATAAAGAGGAAAGTGTCCCATTCTCTTCTAGGCTGTGAAATGTGACCTAGTACACTCCTACAGCTTGGTATATCTTAAGAAAACAAGATGGTGACTAACAACTAACTAAGTTAATCATTGAGTTCAATTCTGTTCTTTCATCTCTCCAGCTAACCAATCAAACCTTGAGTTTCGCCTTCTTGGTGGAACAAGACATCCCAGTAGAAAACTTAAAACCAGCTCCAGTAAAAGTCTATGATTATTATGAGACAGGTAAGTGGAATCCAGATATGCTAAGTGGCAATAAGAAATGGTGTCTAGCCTAATCAAAAGTTATCTTAAATAAAACAAAACTCCACAATCTTTCACTGGAAGAAAAAGTGAGTTTATGGTCACTTATAATTATGTTTTTGCACATTAACCTCTTGGGTGCACTTAAACAAGTCTAGGGCCATGCTAATGAAGACATCATGAAACAATTGATCATGAGTTCTATCTAAATTTTCCTTTAAAGTTGCTTGCTCTAAGCTGGATTGTTCTGGAAAAGTAAGAATAGCAATAATTTTTAAATCATATCTTGCACTGATGTGTGACATAGAACCTACCATTTGATTTGGGGGGGGTTCTCTGTGGCTTTGGAGGCTGACCTGGAATTAGCTCTTGTAGACCAGGTTGGTCTCAAATTCACAGAGATTCGCCTGCCTCTGCCTCCCAAGTGCTGGGATCAAAGGTGTGCACCACTACCGCCCAACTCATTTGATCTATTTTTAATGTGCTATAGATAAATCCCCCAAAATGGGAGGATACTGGATAAAGAAGGAAATTCTTCCATTTGTTCCTGATTTTGAACTTGAAACTTGCCAGCGTTATACCTAATGTTAGAGCAGTAAACGATGTCTCCTTGTTAAACTGAGGAAAGACCCAGAGAAGACGGGATGCTAGCGGGGAGCACAGTTGTGAGGAGGGACGTCTGAGTCCTGCGGTACCTACACGTACAGCAAGCCTGCAGTCTACACCTCAGGTCTATTCCAGAGACCCCTTCTCATACCTCAGGTCTATTCCAGAGACCCCTTCTGACCCCCTCAGGTCTATTCCAGGGACCCCTTCTTACCCCTCAGGTCTATTCCAGAGACCCCTTCTCACACCTCAGGTCTATTCCAGAGACCCCTTCTCTTAGCCTCCACCCCAACCAAGTCAACTTAGTATAGACTTTATTTTCACTGATTCTATAGCTGTGATTTGTGCTTTTGTTCTTTGCTGACAGGGTTTATCCACAATTAACCACTTTCTGCCCAACCATTCTGTGTTCTAGATGAATTCGCCACTGAAGAATACAGGGCCCCTTTCAGCACCGGTACAGTATAAATAGTCAAATCTAATGCCAATTTAAAGAAAATAAGTGAACGTCTGCTTGAGTCCTCCATACTAGGCTGGTTTTTAGCATAGCATTTTGTAATATATAAATTCTGATGAATCATCAATAAGTTGGACTATATCAAATACATTGTAGAATTTCTTAATAGAAATATGCTAGTGAAATATAATTACTAGTACCTGGGAGTGACTTGTTTATAACTAAATTTAAGAATTTGAGAGATTTATTAGAGAGAAAAAGAGAAAACATGAAGTTGGGTAGGGGAGAAGGTGGGGAAAATCTGGGAGGAATTGGGCAGGGGAATAATATGATCAAACTTCATATTAAAAATATAAAAGAATTTGTAAGACATAAAAATTAAATCAACTAATGTTTGCATTCTATACCTAGTGCCCACCCATATTCTTAAGACATTTTTAAATGTGTGCTGGTTAAATTCAGTGTCACTGCAATTAGCCATACTGCACAACATGAGAGATCTCACATAGAAGACATTCCTTTATGTTGATTGACAGGGTTTGTCTTTCACAATGACTCATTTTCTATGGCACCTTTGGCTCTCCTTTTAAACTCTGAAGAGAATCTAAGAACAGTTTCATTGTTTAGAGATAATAAAATTTAAAGATTTAGAATTGAATATTAAAACTAGTTCTTTTAGTAGGTTTTTTACTTCCCTTGATATTTCTGTTCTCCCCTTTAGATGCTGGACATGGAAATGCTTAAAAATGGGAACCTGTATATTTCATCAGATGAACTTCTCCAGACATGAAGAACCAAGACCTGTTAGGAGAAAGGACAATGAAATAAATGGAAGGGACACATAAAATTTATATATTAAATAAAGCTATGACATTTACATCTATATTTCATTTTATTTTTGTACTTTTATCATTATACTTATTTTCTGAGAAAGGGTTTTTATTCTCCACAGCAATTTAACAGAACCTAAAGAAATTACAGAAAGAGATACACTAGAAAATGCTATAAAGTTTTTTAAGGTTTGGTTATCCCACAAAAACACAGAGGAAATGAATCCATGTTGTCTAACATTGGAAAACAGTCCAAATGCTCATCAATAGGTCAAAGGTAATCTAACAAACCGTGGAATGTTCATACCAGTGGGGCTATTGCACAATATTAGGTGGTGCACACCTGCCTAAGTGTGTTTGTGAATAACTAAAAGAATTCCAGATAAAGAGAGAAGGGGGTGATGTTAAGAGTAAGAGTAACTGGGTTGGTCTTTCTTTTCCAACTTATTTTAAAAAGTAACTTTAACATATAATTTCATTTGATCTACCTCATGAAAACACTTAAAATGCCTACAAATGAAGACAACAGAAGACCTCTGTCTTCTTTGCATAATTTTATGTTGAACTTGTTCCCATCCCCTAAGTTTCTGTTTCTTTGGTTTCTTCTGGAATGTCTTTTCCTCTGTGCAGCCCCGCTTTGGAATACCTTGTTCATGTTCAGTGAGGATCATCTCAGTGTGGCGAGGCAGGGGAGCTCATTCCTGGGTTAATGGCACATCATGGGTGCGGAGAGAATCTACATCTAAACCCTTGAGTTCTGCATTGCTCTCTGTATTTGTGTGTGTGAGCACATGCATGAGCAAGCACACACACATATACAAGCATGCATGTATTTTACTTATTTACATTCATGAATCAGTGCTCTGCATGCCAGAAGAAGGCATCAGATACTACAGATGGTTGTGAGCCACTGTGTGGTTACTGGGAATTGAACTCAAGACCTCTGGAAGAGCAGCCAGTGCTCTGAACCCCCAGCCATCTCTCCAGCTCCCACTCTCTGCATTACTGAGCATGGCAGCAGTGTCATAAGAACAGCGATTCCTCCATTAGTGTTCAGGCAGAGCTGGCCTCTGCCTCAGAAGACTGCACGTCTTGCACTGAACATTGACTCTGCCTGCTCTGTGTTCTCTTTCTTCACTGACCTGTCTTTTGGTTCTCAGGTGCCTTGTCTCATTAATGTTCACCCCCAGAAGTTACTGCCCAACTCTAAGGTGACACCATCCACAGTTTCTCAGACTGAGGCACAAAGAAATCCAAACGCATGGGCTACAAAGCCCCACAGATGGGCCAGCTGGAATGTGCAGAAACATGTCTGCATGCGTCTATTCACCCTCTTCTATTTCTTCAGTGCCATAGATCTACAATGAGATACAGGAAATGTCTGACTAAGCCCTTTGTCTGGGAAGGCACTGAATGATCAGACTCTTTTGGTGGTGCCCGGTGGCCATCTAGCCCAGCCTAATCCAGAATCACAAAGTAGGCTTGGCTTCTTGGTTTGTGTGGTTGTTAGGGGTTAGTTTGATTTGATTTAGGGGTGTTAGGGGGGCTTTGGAGGATGAGCAGTGTTGTTTTTTGGGTTTTATGAGACATAATCTTGCTGTGTATTACAGGTTAGCCTCAAACTCAAAATCCTCCTGCCCTGGTCTCCCAAGTGCTGGGATTATATAGATGTATGAAACTAAACCTGGATATATAATATATATTCTTTTATATATTTATTCTCTCATGCATCACATACCAACTGCAGTTTATTCTTGATAGAATCAAAGTCTAGAAGTTTCCCTGCCAAAGTTTTGATAGGAGTGCCTCCAGAGACCGAGAGACTATCTGGGAAATATTGAAATTATGAATTCGCCAGGATCTGTAGGAGGCACCAGGGAGAGATGATTGCTATGTTAAAATATAAGCTAATTCCTAAATTCAACAAAACGCTGATGTTGTAAACCAAAGAATTAACTGCAATTGAACACTAGAAAGTTATCTCTTTAAAAAGAGAACTGAATTTTCCTGAGTTGCTTTTGAACTTGATACTGTGTGACTACAAAGTTGAGAGTGTACAACCACACATGCAGAGGCCTGAGGAAGACATTAGTGTCCTCTTGTGATGGTCTCTATCTTGCTCCCTTGTGGCACGGTCCCTCAGTGAACCAGAAGCTGGCCATGTAGGCTGGACTGACTGACCAATGAGATCCTAGGAGCCACCTGTCTCCCCGTTCCAATAGCAGGGCTACAAGCACATACAGCCATACTCAGCCTTTTCTGTGCATGCTGGGAATTCAGACTCAGGTCCTCATGGTTGCATAGCAACTGAGCCATCTTCACAGACTCAGATACTACATTGTTTTAATATGGGTTGACTTAACTACCGTTACAATGCTGGGTATTGAACCCAGGGTCTCACCAAGACCAGGAGAGCACTCAACCACTGACCCATACCACAGCTTTTTAAACGTATAGAGACCCTTACAACGTATAAAGACACAGGCCATAATAGAAAGAAACACAGAATAGAAGGCTAAGAGGTCATGTGATCATCTGTGCTCCCTGATAGGTAGGGGAGATGGAGTAGGGTTGTTGCTGTGACTAGACTATTCCACGAAATCTGCCCTCAAAAAAAAATGCAGAGTGGACCCTGTCGTATTTATGCTCTAACTGCATTTGAAACCTGCTTTGCTGTATCGTCAGTTGAAGTGCATCAATTTGCCCAGTACTGACTTTCTGACTTACAGACATTTCTGAGAAGTTTGGACAACTCAGCGTTTTTACAAGGGGATCGGGTGATGCTCTCAGGCCCCACATGGTGGCAGTGTGTAGAAGAACAGGAAGCCTGGGCACTGCAGCTCTTGCGGGATGTGGGTTCTGTCCTTGCCCGGCTGTGCTTTGCCGTGGTGAGGACTCTGACAGCTGCAGAGGTAGGGTTGCTCAGGTGACAGCTGACTGGGAAAGATGTGGGAACGAAATGCCAGAGCCCACAGAGCCCTCCTTTCTCTGCTCCTTGTTGGCCTTGGAGCGGCCTGAAGAGGAACAGTGTGTGCAGAGACCAGGAGAGAAGCCATATACTGTATCCTGGAATCTTGGAGTGGGTGAGGGGTGTAGGGACTACCCTCAAATGTCAGGCGTCATGGGCACCTGAAAACTAGAAAGAACAATGGTCCTGGAAGAGACTCAGGTGCCTGTGTCCGGCTCTCTGATACTCTGGTTGTACTCCTCAGTCTTCAGACACCATGCTGAGTCCCAGGCACGTGCCAGCCTCCAAGGACGATCAGCTGCCACCTTATACCTAACTGAGGGTACAGGAGTGTGGTCCTGCAAAGTTCCAGGTCCTCTATGTTCACAAACCGACACACCGACTTTGCTGTGCCATGCGTTGTCAGTGGAGTCCCCTACAGGGAATAGACCGCAGGGAAAACCTGTTCAATTGCCCCACGGTGACTGCCTTGGTCACTGTATTGAAAAGGGAAATAATGCTTGCCTGTAAGTCCCAGACAGCCGTGTGACAGGGCTGGTAGGATGTCCCCACCCTGGTTCCATAGTGGAATCTGCCATCTTTGAGATCCCAATGGGAGGCTGTCAGTCACAATGCCTGCGATCATCCAGGCCAGTCTCCCCCAGGCCGTGTCCACACAGTTGCCTCCTTCGGCAGTCTCTGCTCGACTCTGACGGAACGGAGACCATGAGGCTGGTAAAGACAAACCCAGAGGTTCAACAGCTCCTAGGGACCTGCCCTTGCCTCTGGGGAAAGCACAAGGGCTGAGCAGTGGGAAGAAAATATCACCAGCACCCCCTGCTGGCTGAGTGACCCTGTCCTGTGGCACGCGTTTCTACAGCCAGTGACAAAGGCCTGGGCTCTTCCGTCCTGCAGTTGCACCCACAGTGAGACAGCTATCCTCTGCTGGGATGATGAGGTCACAGGCGCCTGTCATCCAGAAGGCCAGAAGCACTCACCAAACGGCTGCTCCTGTGACAGAGGCCTGGTCCGTCCGTCCGCCCCCCCCCCCGTCTTCCCCCTCGCCATCCAGCTGTGCTTGCCATCATAGGTGTTGGCCCACTGAGGCCACTGGAAGCCTGGTCATCCCTGAGCCCTGCAGGCCTGGAGGTCAGGTGGGGGATAAAACTTTGAGGAGACCCTCTCCCACGCCGTGTTTCCATTGTTCGTCTGGGGTAAATTTCCCGAAGGAACGGCAAGACCGTTCTTCCAGCAGCATAGCTGCTGTGGGCCTTCCTTGCCGCCCAGGCAGGCAGCCAGCAGAGGGGGCGACAGCCATTCCACTTTCTTGTCCCCGGCTCCCTCCTCCTCAGCCAAGAGGAAATCAGCTGCAGGGGAGAGTCGTGGGGAGAATGCTGTCCTCAGGGCAGTCTTTGCAGAAAATTCAATTCAGATCATTAAAACAGGGGCCTGGAACACGCATCGCAGATGAGTACCTCCTTCACTGATTCCCCAGCCCTGAGCTGATCTTCATGTCACTGAATGTCTAGGAGTCCCGAGAGGTCGACATAAAGGCCACACAGGAGTCTTTGGGCTCCTTTTCCTTACACCGTTCCCTTTTGTAAACCCCCTACCTAACATCCCCACCCCACCCCCACCCTTTATCCCTCTCTCTTATCTCACTTTCTCTTTAAGGAAGTTGGTACTGGAAAAGAAAACAAAGACAAGAAGATCAAAACACCAGCATGTGGGATTCCTTTCGAAAAGTGTGGGTGAAGCTATGACTGAGGAGGGGTTTCTGCCTGTTAGCTGTAGCTGAATTAGGGGTGCTGGGGCATTCCCCAGGATCTTTTCTCTGTATTCGTGTGTTTGCATAAAATGCCTTTATTAGAATTAAAGAGCAAAGCCAGACCTGGCATTGGTGGCACACACCTTTAATCTCAGCACTTGGGAGGCAAAGGCAATCGAATCTCTGTGAGTTTGAGGCCAGCCTGGTCTACAGAGTTCCAAGACAGCCAAGGGTACACAGAGAAACCCTGTTTTGA